CTCATCGCGATGACTGCCTACACTGTCACCACTACGGACCGGCATTCCCATCGCGGCTGGAAGTGCGATCCGACAGTCAACTTCCTCCTACCTATTTTCAAGTCCTTCTGCATAGAATAAGTATTCCCTCCACTTCTTCTCTTTCCATATAGAGCCGGGCCTGAATGTCGCAGCTGCTAGGGTTTTCTCAATCAACTCAAACCCCCTGCGATATTGGTGACCCGCGACATGAAATCAACTTTCAATTTCTGATGTGGTTGAGCTCAGTCATCGTGAACTATCCTCCGACTTCTACTCAACTTCCCGTGTCATTTCATGTGACCAAGATATACAGAATTTAGTCACCGACATCCTGCCGTAAAGCGATATGGAGATCCGCAACCATGCCAGCACCCAGACCGCTTTCCCAACCTCTGATCTTATTTCTACTGTCAACTATATATTTCCTTGCTCAGCTCAACCAACACTGACATGGCATGCCGATTTACCGTCGACGCTCAACTCAACGAACTTGGCTCACTCGTGCCAGCCACAACCATTTCTTCAACCTGGCTCACTCTAAGCCAGTAAGGTTTCGCGAAGTTTTCAGGAATAAAGTCTGTAACGGCATTGTGATGGCCATTGATTAGGTAAATTAATCTGTCAGTGATTCTTCACAACCCTAATATACACATTTAAAGTTCGAAGCGGAATTAGCACTGTCTGATTACGACAAGTAAGCCAGAAATGCCTCAATCAAGGCATTCAACCCTTCGCCGAGCAAAATTCAGCAACACCTTTAGGGTCTTCGACGCAGTCTTTTCTTCGAGAGGTATTGTCACAGAAACCTGGGCGATTGGAACGTCCCTTTCTGGCTGAGTCCTCACCCTTAGCTGTCCATATGTCAACCATAACAGATCCGGACTTATTGCGGTATGAATCGATATCTTAATAACAGAACATGTTCTTAATGATCAAACTGCCTCCTATAATTGTAGTGCAACTGGCTACTGAAAATGGTTAAATCATTATTTCACTTATTGGCTGCAGGTGAAGGAGGACCCATGGCAGCCCGTGATCAGTACCTCTTCAATTACTCATATTTTCTTCGCCTGCCTAGCTGTATATACTCGCGCGTGAAAACTATCCCGCGCGCACTTATCCGCCTCACGCTCCTGATCGTGCACCGCACGCCCTATCCTCTTGTCTTCGGGCTCGTAAGAACTCGAAGCCAATCAGTGTTCACCACCTCTTGATTAACAACAGGCAATAAACAACAGGTCCCAGCGGTCCTGTATTTT